TTATCCTATCACAAACAGCATTATACTTCAAAATTGATATTGAAATGTTCTTTTTGATAATGAATGTGATGCCAATCCTCTTAAATTTGTAATATATGCACAGTAAACCATATGATTGTCAGATTCAAAATGTTTATTATCAGCTCATTTCAGCTCACCAGTGTTTAGGATATCGATTTTCATGCATTCCATTTGAACTTTGACAATTACCAATTTTCCTAGATTCATACTTCTTATATTTCATGTTCCAATTATTAATGGATATTTACAGCTGTTTCTCATTTTGAGTTGTGCCCATCAGCAAATGAAGGTTCCGAAGGCTTTACTCCATTTGTATCATCACAGTTAACTATACTCTGAGGAGGTAATTCTTTTTATTTATTTTTTTGAACACTACTGTATTATTAAACACTACTGCTGAATCCACAATTAAAACCAGAATGAAGTAGTCCCCACTCACAAATTAATAGAACAACTAGACAGAAATCTAGTAACAATTTAGAAGTCATGAACAACTTCATTTACCAATCTGATCTAATGGACATTTATAAAACATGTGTAAACAAGAGTTGAGCACATTCCCGTCAAGTACACACAAGATACTTACTAGGACAGATTACAAACTGACCATAAAAAGTCTCAATTAAAAGGGATTCAAGATATATACAGAATATTCTCTAACAAGGAATCAAATGATAGGTCGGTAACAGAAAGAGAACTAAAAATTCCATAGATATTTGCAAAGTAAATAATGTAATTTAAAATAATCTTCCATTAAAAGAAAAAAATTAATGAAAAACTATTTTGAAATGGATGAAACATATATAAAAGGGAACTTCAAAAAGTTCAAGGAAAAAATTCATTGTTTCAATTCCATTTCTTCACAAACTTTTTAAAGCCTTGAGGAGGCAATCCTTCCCCAGCGATATTCTGAGTGCCTTCCAACCTGAGGGGCTCATTTCCTGGCACTGTATCTGACAGTATCCTAGTGCTCTTCATAATATTTCAGTATTGAATATCCTGGTTCTATCTCAAAGTGTTCCACTACTCTATTCATGTTTTTCAGTGGTTAAACATTCAGAAACAGTCTGCCTCTCCATCCTACTCTGTTTTAGACTGGAAAGTCATCTGAAACCTGTCTACAATGGCTGACCTGGCTGGTATTTAAAACAGTGGTGACATAATTTCCAGCACCACAGCAACACGCAAGCCACCAAAATGCAACACCTGACAGACAAGTGGTGGAGGGAAGGATTAGAGAGATAGAAATCATAGTTTCAAATGTATATAGACCTTGTTGTTGCTGTTAAGTGCCACGGAGTCGGTTCCAACTCATAGCGAGTGTGTACAGGGTTTCCAATGAGCAGCTGGTAAATTTGAACCACCAACCTTGCAGTTCAAATTGACCTTGCAGCCCAGTGCATTATCTCACAATGCCATACCAAGACTCCCTATTAGAGCTAGATGGAGAATATTTTGAGAAACAATAACTTCAAATTTTTATGTTTTTAATAAATGTCTTTGTGATTTTGTAGCAATACTTTTGACTTACCCTTGTAGTAAATGATAAGCATATAGATACCTGGTATTGATTAAGAGTCATCACAAAGACAGAACAGGGTAAATGAGATCAGGAAGGTATGGGCAACTATTTGAGATTTTAAATAGAGTCATTAGGTTAGGATTCATTGCAGAATATTTGAACACTGAGGATGTTAAAGGACTTGGCCATGCATCTAGGGAAAAGAGTGTTTTCTGCAGAAAAGGGAGTCCTGGTGTGGTGCTATAGGATAAGCACTAGGCTACTAACCACAAGGTTGGCAGTTCAAACCCACCTGCTGCTCCTCAGAAACCGTACACAGGGTTACTATGAGTCAGAACTGACTCGATGGAACTGAGCAACATTAAAATAGGCAGAGAGGAGTGATATAATCTGTCAATCTTCTGCTGTGTTAAGAACAGTCTATGGAAGGGAACAAGGACAGAAGTAGGGAGATTAATTATAGGAGTAATTTAGTTAATTCAAGCAAGAGGTGATGGATCTTAGATCAAAGTGATGGCAGTACAGTGGATGAATTCTGGATATACATACATATATATTCTAAGCTTTTTATTGGAAAAAATCAAAATTTCAAAAATGCTGCTATAGTACAATGAACTTCCACGTGCCTTTCAATGGACCATTCATCTGAACACACTGTATTTTATCACTCTTTCATACACACACATATAAGGTGACAAAATCTGACAGTTTTACTAGGAAAATAATTCAAAATCATTACTTCATAATCTTGGCATATTTTTACTGAGTTATACAAACCACCATATTTATATTCCAAATTATTAAGTGCTATATTGTCAACTCCTCATGACTACTTAAAAAAAAATCTATTAGATATAGATCACTTTTTAGTTGCACATAAATAACGCAGTTAAAATACAACTTGAACTTACAGATGTAAGAGAAAATAATGTTTAACAAAAGATTAAGCCAAAGTTTTTTAGTGTTGGTATAGCTGCTCTTTATCTTACTTAGTTGGACTACAAAATTCTATTAGTTTAGTGCTATTGTATAAAACATCATAGGTTAAAAACAGTTCATATTTATTATGAAAGTCTGCATTGTTGTTTTTTCTTCAACTATATGCTAGTCTAATCATAGTTTCAGAAAAGAGTAATTTACATTTTCAATAGGGTTTAAATGAACATATCCTTTCTTTAGTCATTTCAGACTAACCCATTAAATACTGACCAAATTTTTTGTGTGTGTGTGTGACTACCCTCTCCCCGCAGCCCCTCTCCCAAGTAAACAAAAAAGACTAAGTTTCAAGAAGAATCATAGTAAAATCATCTTATAAATTTTAAACTAGGAGTCTCAAGTGGAGATAGGTAGGTCCACCTGACTTCTCTCATCTCCAGCTAAGAAACAATACTTTAGAATAAAAACTTGAATACTCTTTTACCTAGCAATGAAAAAAATTTAGACCAATGCTTCTGAAACTGTAATGTGCATACAAAGTATCCAGAAATTTAGTTATAATGAGTACTTTTATAAAATTGAGTGGGGGTTGGGTGTTTGCATTTCCTATAAATTCTCAGATTATACCACTAGTGCTGTTTGAGAATATTTGAGGAGTAAGGTGGTAGTAGTGTTAGGAGCACTGAAGTTGGTTTCTAGACTCAATCCTCACAACTGTTGCTCTGTTTGAGTCCACTGTTGCAGCCACTGTGTCCACCCATCTCACTGAGGGTCTACATCTGTTTGGCTGACCCTCTACCTTACCAAACATGATGTCCTTCTTCAGGGACTGGTCCTTCCTGAGAACATGTCCAAAGTACATGAGACAAAGTCTCACTGTTCTCATTTCTAACGAACATTCTGGCTATACTTCTTCCAAGATAGATTTGCTTGTTCTTCTGGCAGTCCCTGATATATTCAATATTCTTCCCCAACACAATTCATATACATCATTTATTCTCCAGTCTTCCTTATTCATTGTCCAGCTTTCATAAGCATATGATGAAACTGAAAATATCATGGTATGGATCAGACAAACCTTAGTCCTCAAAGTAACACCTTTCTGTTTCAGTTTAAAGAGGTGGGTCTTTTGCAGCAATTTAATACAAATAATTACATTTTCATTTTTGCAAGAGTTGAATCTTTGGAGTCCAAATGGCAAAACTAAACTTTTTATATAATGATTTATATACATTATAGGCTGTCACTGAGTAGACTGAGTAGATTCCTATCCCACATGTGCAGAGTAGAATGTTCCATAGGATTTTCAATAATGATCTTTCAGAAGCAGATCTCTGTGATTATTTCCCAAGGTACCTCACGGTGAACTCAAACTGCCAACTTTTCAGCTATTCGTCGAGGGTTTACCCATTTGCACCTCCCGGGGACTACTACACAATAAACACAGGCAAAACTCCTTTGCCTTTAAAGAATCTTCCATCCTTGCTTACTGTCTAGAAATGTATAAAGAAGAAATAAAAAAACAAATACAAAGCAAACTGCCAAAAACCAGTAAATGTCAAAAAGCTGTTATTTGGAATGATCTACATTAATTAATGCTCCCTTACACTAACCCAGAAAAGGGCAAGACAGAAATAGAGATGCATGATGCTTAAAAGAAAGTCTCAAGTTTTAGATCATATTTCTTATTGGATAAACACATCATAGTTTACTTTTTAAAAATGGGACATAACAGAAAGGAAGACAGTAATCAGATAAAGCACACTACTTGAAGAGTTCATTATTTTTTTCTTCAAATATTTACTGAATTGCTTGAGAATGGAGTCTTATGACCTAAAACAACATTTACACATTGAAATTAGTTTATACCCTGACTTTTTTCTTAAGTAATAATGGGTAGCAATAATACTGCAAATGACTGTTTAACTCAACTAGGAAAAAATTACCGAATACATTCTAAAAATAATTACATGAATTTTACCTGTTCCTGGATGTACAGAAATTAGAGCTTTAGCCAAGACTGTGCCCAGCAGCTTTGAAACAGAAATCCGCACATCATAACTAGAACCTTCAAAGGATTTAAAGCACAGTGTGGCAACACTATCCAGGTCTGTGCTCCACATAAAGACAGCCTCATCCTGAAGTTCAAGGAGACACTATTCAATTGGAAAAAAAAGAAATTAAGAAAAAAACAAAAAAAACACTTCAAGTTCACATCTATATAAGCTGTTAAAACTATTAAGATCTAACAGAAAAAACATACAAATTCAAAGTATCTAAAAAAACAGCTGCAGGAACAGCTGTGAAATTAAGTTAAAATGATACTACATAAGGCACTGTTCAAAAAGAGGAAGGAGGAAGGAGGACCTATTTATATGTCTGCTGGTTATGAGTTAATGAATGAATTAATCTGTTGGTTATGAGCAATGTAAGAATAGTATTAATCTGTTGGTTATGAGCAATGTAAGAATAGTATTAATACATAAAAACAACTTTTTTGCATTATCAATCCACTGTGGGTTTAATGCACTAGACTGTAAAGTTGGTTTGAATCATAAAATCCACAGTTCAAGCTCACCAGCCACTCCTCGGAAACCCAATATAGAGTCGCTATAGGTTGGAACTGACCCAACAGCACTTAACGACAACAACAACAATTATGTTAAGACCTGATTAAAAACAAAATAGAATAAAACAAAAAATCACTTTCAAACAATATCAAACCTTCTAAGGTGATCTTAAATTCCACAATTACAGGAAGGCAGCACAGTAGAGTGGAATCAATATTAGAAACAGAAAATTTGGACTCTCACCCCTTTGACATGTTGCAAACTACCTGAAAAATCTTGGAAACTCACAAATCTCTCTGAGTCTCAATTTATTTACATGTTAAAATGAGATAGTCCTATTCGATTACACCAAGAAACATTATTAAGACTTTCATAGATAAATAGATGAAATGATTTCATTTTCTTTATATGAATTTTTACAAAGACTACTTTTAAATTTTACCTTTGCAGCAGCACAACGAACTGCCATGGATCTATCTGTTAAGCATGATCGAGCAGCTTTATAAATATCCCTGTGGCAAGGTGTAGCAGCAGCTCCTAGTCCACTTAAAATATTCTGTAGACTTAGCATAATCTCATATCGACCTTGAGACTACCAACAAAGAAAAAACGTAAAAGATTTTAAATAAGAAACACTAAAACAGAACCCCACAATAAAGAATAGCATGAAACACTGATGTTATTTCACATGTTTAAGAAATAATCAGATTTTTGTACGTACTCATCAAAAGTTTTAAGGAGCTCTGGTAGCGTAGTGGTTACAAATCGGGCTGTGAATCGCAAGGTCAGCAGTTCGAAACTATCAGCTGTTCCGCGGGAGAAAGATGAGACTTTCTACTCCCGTAAAGATTTACAGCCTCAGAAACCCTGTACAGAGTCACTATGAGTTGGAACCGACTCCATGGCACACAGCCACCACCACTAATCAAAGGTTTTAGTGGAGCTCCCAAACTAAGACAGATTAGGAAGAAGGAGAGGTGAATCATTTCTGGTTAGTCATGGAAAACATTATAAATAGCAGAGCAAAGCTATCAGATATAGTGAGTGCTGGAATGTGAAAACTTTATGATTAGCAGTGGTACACTGTCAGATATAGTGCCATAAGATAACCCTGAAGATGGAAGACGCTCAAATTATGAATTGGGAGTGAAATTAGTCAGGCACAATAAGAGAAATACTGCATAGGACCACTACTGTAAAAGACTAAGGGAAAGAACCCATACTAAAGGGGGGTGGAGGGGATTCTTTGTTGATTACTGGATAAAATAGACTATCTTAAATGGAG